CAGGTTGGCCTTGAACTCACAGAGATCGACCTGCCTCTGCCTCCTGAGTGCTGCGATTAAAGGCGTGCGCCACCGCCACCTGGCTTAACACATTTATTTTGTGTGCATTTGCTGGGTGGGGTGGTCTACCCATCCTCTTCTTCCTTCCACTAGGTGGGTCCCAGGCCCCAAACTCTGGTGGTCACTTTTGGTGGCAGGCACGGTTACTCTTGAACTGTCTCTATCTCCTTTTAAATAATTAATCCACACAAGACCCTGTATCAGAAACAAGCAAAATCAAAGCACACCAGACCACCACATCACTGCTCACAGTCAGGTGCCGCTCACCAGCCGTTCCTCAGGATGCACAGCTCCTGGTGTTCCTGTTCCCGAGACGCCGTGATGACCAGGTGTTTTTCTTCATCCCCTCTCTCATCCTGTACAGTTTCGACAGCCAGCACCAGGTACCGGTTGTCCTCTCCTCGGCTCAGAACCGTCTGAGGAAAGAACGCTTCCACCTTCTTCTGAACTCTAAAAGCAGAAACGTAAGAGCCCATTGACTGGACTATCTGGAAGCCAATTTTCTAGTTTTTTAAGGTTTTTTTTTTTTGTTTTGTTTTTTTTTCTTCCCCTGAAAACCTTAAACTGAACAAAGGCACAGGGGGAGGAATTCTTGTTATAAAGACCAGGGCTGAGGCTTGGTTAATAGAGTGCTTGCCAAACATGTACAAAGCCTGGGGGTCAATCTGCTCCCCAGCACTTGAGTAGGCTAGGTATCTGAGTGTGGTGGTTCATACCTGTAATTCCAGCACTTGGGAAGACAGGCAGAACCAGGTCATTCTTAGATACATAGGGAGTTTGGGCTAGCCTGGACTACATGAAGCACCATTTCAAAACAAAAAGTGACTTCTCTCCTTTTGAAACATACATGAAATAATAAGCGAACTGCACGTGATGGCTCAAACCTGTAAACCCAGGGCTTGGGAGGCTGAGGCAGGGGGACTCCCACAAACTCGAGTGTCGCAAGAGATCGAACCAAAGAATGAGACACCCAAGTTGCTGTAGGGAAGCAGTCTATCTCTAGAGATTCAATACCAAAAGGCTAAAGAGCACAAGATTGTGCTCTTACACATTCCTGGCTCTTACACATTCCTGGCTTTGTCCTCTATATATGGCTACATACATTGTGATTGGTATTTTTAACCAGTAGACAGGCAGGGTTGTTTGCAGGGCAGATATGGTCAGTCTTCACAGATGGGAGAGTACCCAACAGCTTGGCCAACCCTCCACTACTCGGACTGGACATCCATCACCCACATGGCTGTCCGTTGCTTTTCTTTCTCTTGGGGATCTGGGGCCACTCCTGCCTCTTACCACACAAGCCTTCTCTACAAAATGTGCCCGCTGCATAAACAACAGCAACAGAACACTTAGGAAGTGGTCAAGGCCATCCTGGGCTGGGCTAACAGATCTCAATTCAAGGCTACCCCGGGCTGGGCTACCCGAAAACCCGGAACCTGGAAAATGTCGGAACAGGTTTCTACTACTGTTGAAAGCCTATACAAAGTACACCTAAATGGAGATACGTTGAACACTTGGCCAAATAACTGATACGCTGGGCAGGACACGATTCAGTGGCACAGCACCCGCGTGCCAGCCTGTGCCTCACCCCCATTACTGCTGGAAAGAGAGGGGGATGGAGGGAGAGAGCAGCATGGGGTTGACTGCAAATCCTGCCGGGAGCTGCCAATCATCCCAGTCTTTATAGCATCAGGGGCCTTAAGCCCACTGCATACCGGGTGTTGGTTCCTCCAGCACACTCAAGAAAGCTAGTCCAACATACCACAGATGCAGGGAGAGGTCCTCGCCTCCCTCTCCTCGTAAAGGAAGCAAACTCCCCCTCGGCTTCCCAGGAAAGGGTCTCTGTTTATGCCAAGGCTGGTCTCAACTCTGGGTCTCAAGCACTCCAGGGCTCCTTGAGTAGCTGGAGTCATTGACAGCAGCTTCTGAGCCAACCATCACATCCCAGTAGAAAGCAGGGCTATTTACCCACCAGAGGAGCTGACTTCTGTACAATAACTCAGGAGTTTCTTATGTCTATTTAGAATGACCAGATCAGCTTCACAATACTGAAACCATGCAAACTACTCTTTAAAGTGCCCCTTTTCTTCTTACATCTTTCTGGTCGGGTTTCCATAACCCTAACTAGTCACCTACACTCCCCGGTTAAAACATCAAATGCTATACCAGGCATGCTGGCAAACACCTTTGATCCCAGCGGTCTGGAAGTGGAGGCAAGAGGATCTTTGCATTCAAGACCAGTCTGGTCTACAAAACAAGTTCCTGGACCGCCCAGACAACGTATAGAGTGGTGTCTCAGGCCTTTAATCCCAGCACTGGGGAGGCAGAGTCAGGTGAATCTCTGTGAGATCGAGGCCAGCCTGGTCTACAGAGTGAGTTCCAGGACAACCAGGACTTTTACACAGAGAAACACTGTCTCGAAAAATCGAAAAAAAATAAATGCCTTCCTCCTTCCCCTACCAATCACTCCAGCTGGCTGCACAACCCATTGTTTTGGAAATGTATCACTGAACACCCCAACTTAGCCTCACACCAAGGGTTTCCTGAGGTAGGCTGTGATGCCTGCAGGAGCTCCTAAAAGTTACATTGGGCCCAATGGTTAACAACACGTACTGTTCTTGCAGAAAGGACCTGAGTTCAATTCCCAGAACCCGCCTCAGACAGCTCACGACTGCCTGTAACTCCAGCTCCAGGAGATGCCTCTAAAATCAGACACATGCACATAAACACGTAAATTAATAATATGATCCGGCCGGCTAGCAAGACCGGAGTTCGCTCCCCCGGTCCCACGTGCAAGGAAAGAACTCCCACAGGTGCTTCTCCGACCGCCACCAGCGGATCAACGCACTCAAATAAATAAATAAATAAAATGCAATGTATTAATGACACTGGTGAGCTGTGGTGTGGAAAAGAGCGAGTTCAAGGCCAGCCTGGGCTACACAAGACCAGGTCCAAACTAACAGTCGCCGATGAGGCAAACCCTCCGGCTAAAACCAGGGGAGACCGCGCCGGTCCGCCCTGGCGTCCACCGCCCGCCGCTCGCCCGCTCACTCACAGTTCCGCCCGCGGCGCGGCCTCCGCTCCGCCGCCCTCCTCCTCCAGCAGCAGCAGGTCCAGCTCGTCCAGCGGCTCCATCCCTGCCAGGGCCGCCGGGAGAGGCGGCTACGAGAGGCGGCCGCGGCGCCTGGAACCCGCAGCGCCCCGGACGCGCCGGTGTCTCTGCGCATGCGCGGGAGGGGCCCCGCGCGCCAGCGGCTCCCGCGCTCTCAGTGCCGGGAAGCTCCGCGCAGGACCGGAGCCGCTTTCCCGCCTTCCCGCCTCCGGGGGTGCCTGAAGTGGACTGCCGGGCTCGCACGCTTCGTGTTTTAGATTTGGGACAGCGTCTCAAGTATCCCAGGCTGGCCTGGAACTCACAGCACCGTCTCCGGCTTTCAAGGGCGGTGACCACCATGCCCAGCTTAAGAAAATGATTGGAACTCTCCCAGCAATCCCCTGCCTCGGTCTGCAGTGATCACCACGCCGCCTTTTCGTTCTGCTGGTAAAGGGGACTGCGACTAGGACTGCCGATCTCAGTTTTTCTGGAACCCACATGGTGATAGGAGGTCCATCCCCCGGCAGAACACACACACAAACACACACACACACACACACACACACACACACACACACACACACACACACACACACACGGCTGGAGAGGAGCGTCCAGTAAGTACCACATGTGGCTGCTTCCCACTCCCTATAATCCCAGTTCCAGAGGATCAGATGCCCTCCTCCGGCCTCCAAAGGCACACTCATGCACATAGCGCACCTCCACACTCACAGGCACACACAAACGCAAAATAAATCTTTTTTAAAAAGATAAGTCTAAAACTTTCTTTTAAAAGAAGCCATTTTAGCTGGGCGGTGTTGGTGCACACCTTTAATCCCAACACGCAGGAGGCAGAGGCAGGCGGATCTCTGTGAGTTTGCGGCCAGCCTGGTGTACAGAGGGTGATCCAGGACAGGCACCAAAACTACACAAAGAAACCCTGTCCCGATAAATAAATAAGTATATAAATAAATGAATGAATGAATAAATGCCATTTTAATTTTATCTTTCTTTCGCTCTAATTTCTGAGCGTGTATGTGCCTGTATGTGTGCATGTGTGTGGGGAGACCAGTGGTTCGACACTGGGTGCCTCCTGTGGCTCTTCACTTTATGAGACAGGGTCTATGACTAAACCTGGCTCTGATGTGGGAGCTAGGAATCTGAAAGTAGGTTACACAGCTCTTTGTGACCTGAACCATCGCCCCAGCCCTCTCATTCTGGTATTTCATAGTTAACATTTTTCCTTCAATAACGCAGATGTTTAAAGCTGGGCGGCGATGGCAAACGCCTTTAACTTTGTGAGTTCGAGGACAGCCTGGTCTACCTAATGAGTTCTAGAACAGCCAGGGCTACACAGAGAAACCCTGTCTCAAGAAAACCAAAATAAATAATTGATAATGATGATGATGATGATGTAAACGTTTGAAAAATAAGAATGCAAATGTTTAAAAAGAAAGTTATTGGCCTGATGCGGTGGCACATACTGAAACTCCAGCACAGGAGAGGCTGAGGCAGGAAGATTTTGAGTTTCAGGCCAGCTTGGGTTACATAAAGAGACTGCTTCAAAAAAAAGAAAGAAAGAAAAGAAAACAAATAACAAGGGGCTGGAGAGATGGCTCATAGTTAAGAACACGGGTTGCTCTTCCAGAGGACTCCATGCATGTGGGGCACAGACATGCATACCGGCAAAACACTCATACACATAAAATAATATTAAATACATAAGAAAAAATAAAACTAAATAAATACAGCGGCAGTTCAGTGGTAAAGTGTTTACCTAGCATGTACAAAGCCTTCAGGTTGATCTCAGGTTCCGCAGATGATAAGTAAATAAAGGAAACCATCAAAACAAGGATAAAAAATTACTTTTAATATCTTATGGAGTCTATAACAGACATAGAATGCAATTTCTTATTTAAAAATATTTTCAGTTCTCTTTTATTGATAATATAACTGAGATATTTATTTTATAGGTTTAAATTACCTTAAGATTGAGTGGAATAATTAGCTACAGTGTGGTCCAGAAATGAAAATATACAAAAGAGCTTTATAAACTGATGTATCCCCACTCCCGGTATACTTCAAGTCACAAAGCACATGTTCATTTTTAAAGTAAAGATTACACAAATGAAATTAATTCATCCAATTTTTACCAAGATATGACAAGAAATCTTTATGCGCAAAAAAATGCAGAAATAACCTCAGCAGCTTATATTTAAAGTCTTACAGCTCACATCGGCTCCACAAAGCCCCACCTCTACAGACAGACAGACAGACAGTCACTGCTGCTACTCCATCTGTCATGCTCACAACAAAAGAGAAAAGGGCTCTAAACACAATGATCAGGATTCTTATATTCTAAACAACGTTCTTTAAAATGTAACAATCAGCGCGTGTTCTATATTTACACTTATGAGTATGACACACTAAACGTACTGTACATGGAAGAACTTGTATATTGACATAGTATCTTGGAAACATTGCTTCAGCTATACTCATGGTCCACTTAAATTTTCTAGTACACATCAAGTGATTTAAGACAAACATCTACAATGCTACTCTCCTTTTAAGAGCAAAGATATTTAATTTTCATTATTACTGCCTTTGAGAAAAACAGTGCTTTTTTTTTTAAATCACGAAAATCAAAGTACCTGGCAACAGCATTTGAACAAAACCTGATTAAGTCTCTCCTTTTTAAGACAAGACCAATTGTATTGAGAAAGGAAGAGAGCTGAGGATGTAGCTCAGTGGTAGGTATACCACTTGACTGGCATGTACAAGGTCCTAGATTCAATCCCCAAAGAGAGGAAAATAAAAATAAAGAAAAACTTTTCAAATCAATGAGGAAAAAGTGTCCTTTTATCAACTGGAGCAGAACTCTGAGAAGAAACATAACAAGAACACGACTTGTTGCTAGCTATGGTTCCCAGATATTCAATTCTCATTCCACTACAATTGAACCGAGTCTGCTGACTTTAGTAACACTACACAAGGTCAGATGCTGGAGATGGAGTTCAGAGGTAGAGCGCTTATCTAGCAAGACAGGCGAGAGAGACCCTGAGTTTACTCCCCAGAACAAGGAACGAAAGGATGGAGAGTCGGGGATAACAAGCGGTGTTAGAGGCTGGGGTGCAGGCCATTGGTGGGGTGCAGGCCATTGGTGGGGTGCAATTAGCATGCATGAGTTTGATCCCAGCACATCGCTAAAAGAGAAAAGGGTCAGGAATGTAGCTCAGTGGTATGGTGCTTGCCTTGCACACGCAAGGCCCTGGGCTCAACTCCCTCAGCACTGAGGAAAAAAAAGACAATCATAATTACAGGCTGGGGATGTGGCACAGTGGGGACAACCTGTGCCAGGCATGCAAAGGGCCCTGGGTTTGATTCCTGTCCCTCCCCGCCTCCATGACCACAATTACAATGAAGTTTGGAATAGTGTGGTGAAACCAATGACAATCTCTTAAACTCCAATACGAACCCACCTCTCCTTCCAATAGTACTTTAAAATAACCAGCAGTTACCACCATCAGCGCAAGATGGTTTTGCAGGGTTCTAAGGTATAATGTTTGCCATTAAAAAGCACGTCAGAGCAGGCATGGTGGCACATGCCGGAGATCTCAGTACTTGGGAGGCAGAGGCAGGAGGATTGCCAGGAGTCTAGGCCAGTCTGGTCTCCACAGAGAGTTCCAAGCCAGCCAGGGTTACATATCTAGATCCCATCAAAAAGAAAACAAAACATTATGCTAAGCACTTTCGATCTATGATTTAAAATCCAACAGAAATCAAGTATTAGAGCCCCAGTGGTTCCTGTGACAGGGCAAACGTCCCCTTCAAGTAATGTCTCCCTCACAATTAAGGTAACATTTATATATATATTTCCCTCTGAGAATTTACTGAGGAAAACCATCACAACTGGTAATTTTTTCTTTTAGTTAAGGTGAAAAAATTGCTTCATAAGTTCATAGGTTGTGAAAGCCACGGCTTGCGAGGGAATACAGCGGATGTAGTTCAGAGACAAGCCACGGTACAGTCCTTTCCGAATCCCATGGTGTCCATAGACATACTTCATGGTCTCCCGCATCGTACTGAAAGACAGTGGGAAAATGATGGAGCAACAACTCCTGAGGCGACAGACAAGACAACCTCAGAACCCAGGAGAGCTTTGGTGATTGTGGATTGGTTGGTTTCTTCAGACAGAACCTTGGTCTACAGCTTGGGCTGGCTTTGAACTATAATCTCCTGCCTCCCACATGCTGGGGAAAGAGGACTATGCCACCAGGCCCAGGCTGCAGTAGCATTTTTTTGTTTTTTGTTTCTTCCAGACAGGGTTTCTCTGTGTAGCCCTGGCTGTCCTAGATCTCGCTATGTAGCCCAGGCTGGCCTTGAACTCACAGAGATCCGCCTGCCTCTGCCTCCCGTGGGTGATGGGATTAAAGGCGTGCGCCGCCACCACAAGGCCCATGGTAGCATGTTTCAAAGCGGCTTAGCTGACTGCGGTTGCTCAAACCTGTAATCCTGGCCCTTCAAAAGCTAAAACAGGAGTTTCAGCCAACGTGAGCTACAGAGAGAGACTCTGTCTTCTCAAAGGAAGCAATACACACTTACATACATGAACACATGCATACAAACAAATGAGTCCGGGGGGTACATGCCTATAAGCTTAGCACTTGGGAGATGGAGCAGGAGGAGCAGCAGTTCAAAGCTAGCCTTTGCTAAATCAAAAGATCCCAAGTTCTAGGTCAGGCCTGTGGCATACAAAGTTGGAAGCCAATCAGGGCTACTTGAGATCCTGTCTTGAAAAAGTAGAAATTAGCCAGGCGGTGATGGAACACTTCTTTTATCCCAGCACTAGGGAGGCAGAGGCAGTCGGGTCTCTCTGAGTTGGAGGCCAGCCTGGGCTACAAAGCGAGTTCCACTATGGCCAAAGCTACACAGAGAAATCCTGTCTCGGAAAACCAACAACCAAAAGATAGAAATGTTTAAAAGAAAACATTACACCATTTCTAAGTTAGCGGTCAGAACACTTACAGGCACTTTTCAGACTCTGGCAGGACCGTCCCCAACTGCATTCTCCGGCGGGTCACATCAAATGGGTAGCTAGAGAAACGGAAGAATTAAAGACTTAAAAATAACTTCTCATTTCCTATTGAACAACCACTGAAACCAAACTTCCACATCCACTGGACATTCCTGTTTTGGAATATTTGTTCACACTGCATGAAGGTGTCTGTGTTTTGCCTCACCCGCCTAAGGCAGCTTTGGATTGGTTTAATGAAGAGCTGAACGGCCAATAGCTAGGCAGGAGGTAACAGGCAGACCTTCGGGGCAGAGAGAGGAACTCAGGGTTAGAATCTGGAGCTGCAGGAGGCACCAGCCAGTCACAGAGGGATACGGACATACAGAATGGAGGAGAGGTAGAGAGCCACGTGGCAGAACATAGATTAAGAGAAGCAGGTTAATTTGAGTTATAAGAGCTAGTTGAGAACAAGCCTAAGCTAAAGACCAAGATTTTATAATTAATAAGGTTTCCGTGTCTTTATTTGGGGGCTGGCAGTTCAAAGAAAGTCTGACAAGAAAGACAACCCAGCACTGGGCAGATGGAGGCAGGAGGGTTTGAAGTTCAAAGCCATCCTCAGCTACATAACAAGTTTGAGACCAGTTTTGAATACAAGAGACTCTGTCTTGGGGGTAGGGGGTGGGAAGGGAAATGGAGAGAAAGAAAAGACAGGTTAAGATGTGAGTCAACTGTGAGGCAAGGGTGGGGGGTGACAGAGCCAAAGAGACATCTAGAACATAGAGACAGTCTGAGTCCACAGCAGAACAGTGGTCCACAGACAGACTTCCACAGCTAAGCAGACAGACGCCCCTGTCCTTTGTCCTCCACAGCATAACACCAGCTTCCATCTGAATCCGCCATCAGCTTTCCCAGGGCAATTCTCGGTCCTGAGCATCCTCTCCAGCTGACTCTGGCTTTGCTTTTCCCACCCAGGACGTCTGCTGAGTGTGGTCACAGCGCTCCCTTTCTGCGCCTTCCTGGTGCTCCAGACATGTCATCTCAAAGGCTTTCTGACTTTCTTTCCCTGAAAAGTCCCCATTGCTCAGTTTCCAGTCACTTTTTTTTTTTTGTTTTTTTGTTTTTTTGTTTTTTGAGACAGGGTTTCTCTGCGTAGTTTTGCACCTTTCCTGGAGCTCACTTGGTAGCCCAGGCTGGCCTCGAACTCACAGAGATCCGCCTGGCTCTGCCTCCCGAGTGCTGGGATTAAAGGCGTGCGCCACCACCGCCCGGCTCAAATAATTTATTTAACTTTTTTTTATTTTATGTGAGTTGGTGTGAGGGTGTCAGATGCCCTAGAACTGGAGTTACAGACAGTTGCAAGCTGCCATGTGGGTGTTGGGATTGAACCCAGGTCCTCTGGAAGAACAGCCAGTGCTCTTAACCACTAAGCCATCTCTCCAGCCCCAGTTTCCAGTCACTTCTATATCACTCTACTTGATCTCTCTTGGTCTAGAGAAATTACATGAAACAATTTTGACATTTATGAATATAAATGCATTTATTATAACAATCCCTCTACATGCTAGCAGATTTAACTCCAGTTAAACACTGTACTGTTTCAATAAAAACAGCTTGGGCACCAGGCGGTGGTGGCACACGCCTTTCATCCCAGCACTCAGGAGGCAGAGGCAGGCAGATCTCTGTGAGTTCGAGACCAGTCTGGTCTGCAGAGTGAGTTCTAGGACAGCCAGAGAAACCCTGCTCAGAGAACCTGAGTTCAGTTCCCAGCACCCACGTCAGCGGCTCACAACCACTGTAAGTCCAGCTCCAGATCTGACACCATCTTCTGGGCTCTGGAACTGTACGCTTATGCACAAACCCACATTTATACATAGTTAAAAATAAAAACAAAATCTAACTAAAAGGGCTTGCTGAGTCAGCAATTCTATTTTCTCCTTTAGTGAACCTTACAATGATTCATATACTATCCGGAACAAAGTAAGTTTCCAAGATTTTAATGCAAAGGGCTTACACACACACACACACACACACACACACACACACACACTCTACATGGCTCAAACTCCAGAAGCTTCTTGTGGGCCAATTGATGAGAACAAATGAATCATCACATTCAAGTGATTCTCTTGCTTTTGTTCAAATGAATCCATAGGAAACTGGGAGGATCTAGATGAATATAATCAACTGTTGGCATGTAATTATCTAAATATACTTATGACAAAGGCATATCTGAAAAAGTACTAAATTAATACTCATCAAAATTAAGCAACATTTTGTCAGGGAGAGGATAAAATGACTAACGGCGTTAGACGAGACACAGAGAGACGACCTGATGGACTGCTTAAGTTGAGACACTTACGATATCGTCTGGGCTATTGCTCCAGCAACACCACCACACAGTAAGTTCACATGAGTCCTGAGAACTAGGACATTGGGATTGTCAGATGAGGGGCGGCCGAGCAGGGTGGGCGCGTAGGAAAGCCCAACGCTCTTCAAGGTGCCGAAGGTAAAAAAGGAAACACCTGAAAAGCAAACCATGAACTCACCATAACACAAACTGAGAAAAAGAGCTTCCTTACATCAAAAAGAGTCAGTAGAAGGAACAAAGTATGCATTTCCTAGTCTAGAATAATTGCCTTCATCTAAGATATTTAATTAATATCTATAAATACTAATTCAAAGATCCTACCACTTACCAAAAAACGATAGCATTGGTTTTCACACACTAGCATTTATGGGGCAGTAGTGAATACAATTTCATATCACAGAGGAGTAGAATTAAGCAGTGTTCCAAGGTTTAAACTGAGTGAAATATAAACTCATAATTCATAATTCAGGGGGGTTCTAAGACACAGTCTCACTATGTAATCCTGGCTGGCCTGAAACTCACTATGTAGATCAGGCTGGATTTAGCCTCTCATGGGCTGAGATTAAAGGCATGCACCACTACATCTAGCCTGTGATGCACAATTTTATATACACATGCATATAATACATAGATGTAATAAAAAATTTTAACTATAAAGACATAGAAGCCAGGCTCAATGGCACCCACCGTCAGCCCAGCATCTGGGAGTCCCAAGCAAGAGGATCAGGATTTCAAGGTCATTCTTAGCTACATAGCAAGTTCAAGGCTAGACTATGTATCAATATGCACTCATACAAAACAATACTACAGCAAAAACAACAAGAAAATACAGTATGTCTCCAACACATTGAACTTTGAAAACACACAATCAGAGAAGTCAATCACAATATTATTTCCTTTAAATGAAACACAAACCTGTAGAGATGTAAAAATTAATGGCTGTTTAGACTTGGGAGTCCGTCCTAACTATGGGTGAAGGATGATGTCTAGCTGACATGAACTGGACACTTCCATGAACAAATGGTATGGTGTTCTAGTCCTCACTCTATAAAGCTGTTATTGAAAACAACTGAATTGGTTTAGGATCTGGAGAAACAGCTCAGCCATTAAGATCCCTTGCTGCTCTTGCAAAGGACCCAGCACCCACATGTGCCTTACAGCTGTCTGTAACCCTCTCCTGGCCTCCAAGGGCCATAGGCCCGCATGCGATGCACATACACATGCACAAGCACAACACTCATACACATAAAGTAAGGTTTAAAAGAGGCAGTGTTGGGGGTTGGGAATTTAGCTTAGTGGTAGAGTGCTTGTGTAGCAAGACAGAAATGAGAGCAAGAGGTTCTTGTACATGACTGGGCTGGCCCCAAACCCCCAGTTTTCTGCCTTAACTTCTCAAGCATCTGGGGTTGCAGGTATCCGCATTCTGCCCAAACCTCAAATGTAGCTGATTTCAGATCCTGAAGCTCTGACCCCCTCTCCAGTGCCATCTTTCTACTTGGTTTTAGACACTTGTGTACATGCGTGTTCGTGTGTGCAGCACATGCATGCCTGCTGCCTGCAGAGGCCAGGAGAGGCTGTCAGACATCTGAACTGGAGTAACAACAGATGGTTGTGAGCTACCGTGTGGGTGCTGGGAACCAAACCCTGGTCTTCTGCAAGAGCAGCCATTTGCTCTTAACCACTGAACCATCCCTCTAGCCCTAAACCTGAATTCTTAACCACTTCAGTGTTCACTAATAAGGCTTTAACTAAGTCAGATATTAATAAAAAGACATAAAATTGCATATCTACTCAGTGTACCTAAATAGTAAGCTTCACACACAAGGGCTGGATGACCACATGTGAATCTCCAATCTACCGTCATCGTTTTTTAAAACCGTTTTCCGACGGCATGTTGTCACCTGACCGACACTGACAACGGAAACACAAAGCAGGAAGCTGCCAGTTTCCTGCAGCTTTGCCTTGACCTGCTTTACTCCTGAGGAGGAGCCTCTCTGTGGAGCCCTGGCTGGACGGGAGCTCACTCTGCAGACCACGCTGGCTTCCAACTCCCAGCAATCCGCCTGCCTCTGCCATGGCCCTGAGTGCTGGGATTGGAGATGTGCACGCCTGCCTGGCCCAATTTGACCATACCTGCATACGGGGCCATTCCCAATATAGTAGGCATCAGACCTCTGTAGAATCCAAGGAAACCGCCTTCCTTTGAATGAAGAAAATCAGAAGATTATATCCCATTCATTATGATAAACATCATAATAAAAGCACAGGGTACAACAGAAACGGCCCAGGACTCTCCTGAAACACAGCTACAGACTTGTCAGGATTACTGCTGCTCTGATCATTAACAAGGCCCATCCTCCCTCCCTCCCTCCCTCCCTCCCTCCCTCCCTCCCTCCCTCCCTCCCTCCCTCCCTCCCTCCCTCCCTTCCTTCCTTCCTTCCTTCCCTCCCTCCCTCCCTCCCTCCCTCCTTCCCTCCCCCGCTCCTCCACTCTCTCTTTCTCCTGTGGTACTGGAGATCAAGCCAGGACTGTGCAGGTGAGTGCTCTTCCACTAAGCCACACACCTAATCTAGTATCATTAATTCCAAATAAAGGGAAAAGTGGATATCCTTTAACATCTTCCTAGCTGTGAGAAAACATGCTATCAGTTTGGACAATGAGATGAAATACCTTAGCATAAATCGTCTTGAATGCATGAATGATCCCTGAATAGGTGTGCTCCCCTTTCACCTGGAAGGCGAGGCGCACCCTAACCACATCGAGAGGGTAAGTGCAGATAACCGCTGTCATGCCTGAAAAGAACAGAACCGTAAATGAAAAAAAAGTGACATATACATGTATACACACACACACACACAAAAATAAATGACTAAATAAACAAATAAATAAGTAAGTAAATAAATAAATAAATAAGAATATTTAAATACAGGCAAGCCAGGACTACATGGTGAGACTGTATCTCAAAAATATATATATATTTTTGAATAAATATATTTTTTTAAAAAGAGCAGCAAGTACTCTTAACTGCTTGGCCATCTCTCTAGCCCCCCAAATTAAGCACTACAGAACACTTACTTATCAGATATGAATGTACCTATTCATCTTACCTGCCATGGATCCAGCCATTAATCTGTGCACATGACCAGAAACTCCCAGCTTTGTAGTAATGAACTAGAAACCAAAAACACTGAATTAAATAAGATTCTGTCTTCTGTGTTAAAGTTGTAAGAGCCAGAGAGATGGCCCAGAGGTTGAGAGCACTGGCTGCTCTTGCAGACAACTTGGATTCGGTTCCCAGCACCCACATGGTGTCTCGTAACTGTCTGTAACTGCAGTTCCAGGGGAACCAGAACCCTCTTCTGGCTACCAGAGACACCAGACATTCACAGTACATACACATATATATGAAGGCAAAACACTCAGACACATAAAATAAAAATGAATCTTTTTTCATTTTTTAAAAATTGGTTTTGGTGCTGAAGAGAATGGCTGAGAGGTTAAGAGGACCGACTGAGTTCAATTCCCAGTAACCACATGGTGGCTCACAACCATCTGTAATGAGACCTGGCACCCTCTTCTATATACATAATAAATAAATAAATCTTTTTTAAAAATTAGTTTTATGGGCTGGAGAGATGGCTCAGAGGTTAAGAACACTGGCTATTCTTCCAGAGGTCCTGAGTTCAATTCCCAGCACCCACATGGTGGCTCACACCATCTGTAATGAGATATGGTGCCCTCTTCTGGTGAGCAGGTACACATGCAGGCAGAATAAATACATGCATAATAAATAAATCTTTTTTTTTTTTTTTTTGTTTTTTTTGGGGTTTTTTTTGTTTGTTTTTTTTCCGAGACAGGGTTTCTCTGTGTAGCTTTGGAACCTGTCCTTGAACTCACTCTGTATCCCAGGCTGGCCTTGAACTCACAGAGATCTGCCTGCCTCTGCCTCCCAAGTGCTGGGATTAAAGGCATGCACCACCACCGCCCGGCAATAAATAAATCTTTAAAAAATTAGTTTTATTTTAGTTTATGGATACAGGTGTTCGTCTGCCTCTATATGTTTGACACATATGTGCAGGACCAGTAGAGGCCAGCAGGGGGCACTAGATTCTCTAAAACTGCAGTCATAGATGGTTCTGAGCTACCATGTGGGTACTGGGAACTGGTTCAAACCTGGATCCTTTTGAAGGACAGCCAATGCTCTTAACCACTAAGCTATCTGCAGCCCCCCAAATAAATCCTTTCTAAAAAATGTAAAGCTGGAGAAAGCTGGTGAAGATGTACTTGAACAAGGAGGCCATGTTCCAGCACTGGCAAGCAGCAGAACTTGGCCATAAGGTTCTGACTTTAGAGTCAAGGATACAGAAAGGCATTATGGAACCTGCCTCTGTGACTAAGAAAAGTCACTGAGGCCAGGCATGGGTCAGGGGTGTCCCTGAACGAAGCCCAGAGAAGCCACTGTGTGAAGCTGGGAAGGAGAAGCCAGGATTGCTTTGGAGACCTCAAGACGTTCGAGATCCCAGAGTCATGTAATACCTGCCATGACTGCTAACAGGGAGTGGAATCAGGCCAAGAGAAAGAAGTGTGTTACAGTCAACAACGCTGAAAGGAGCTGGAGATCTGAAGAGCGTTTTGACATCAGACATGGAGATGCAGAGTTTGGAGTTTTGGAACGGTAATGTATATCCTGGGCCATTATATGTTGGAAGTATGTGATCTGTTTTTTTTTTTTTTTTTTAAGATTTATTTATTTATTATGTATACAGAAGAGGGCGCCAGATCTCATTACAGATGGTTGTGAGCCACCATGTGGTTGCTGGGACTTGAACTCAGGACCTCTGGAGGAGCAGTCGGTGCTCTTAACCTCTGAGCCATCTCTCCAGCCCGTGATCTGTTTTTTTATTTTGATTTTTTTTATTTAATTTTATTTTATTTTACAATACAATTTAGTTCTATATATCAGCCACAGATTCCCTTGTTCTCCCCCCTCCCGCCTATTTTGATTTTTATAGGGGATTACAATTAGGAGAGTGCATGAATTTCAGAAGAGGCTTTGGACTTTTAAACACTGTTGAGACTGTTATAGACTACAGGGACTTTTGAAGATGGACTGAATGCATTGTTACATTATCATATGGCTACAAGCTTTTGGGGACCAGGGAGTAGAATGTGAGGGTCTGAAAAAAAATGGCTCCCAAAATGAGTGGCACTATTAGGAGGTGTGGCTTTATTGGAGTAGGTGTGGCCTTGTTGGAGGAAGTGTGTCACTGTGGAAGCAGGCTTTGAGGTTTCCTTTAGATCAAGATTTAGAACTCTCCAAACTTATTTTTATAATATTCATGCCGCCATATTCCCAGCCGCCGTGCTCCCTGCCATGATGATAATGGACTGAATCACTGAAACTGTGAGCCACCGCCACAATTAAATGTTCTTCCTTTATTTAAAAAAAAAAAAAGTAAAGTTGCAGGCTTTACATATTGGCGCAGGCCTTTAATCCCAGCACTCAGGAGGCAGAGGCAGGCGGATCTCTGAGTTGAGGCCAGCCTGGGCTACCAAGTGAGTTCCAGGACAGCCAGGCTGTGACACAGAGAAAACCTATCTCAAACAAACAAACAAGAGAAAACAAAACAAAACGGCAAAGTTAGGCTGGATGTGGTGATACACGCTTTTAATCCAGCAGAGACAGGCAAATTTCTAAGTTCAAGGCCAGCCTAAGTCTACAAAGAGAGTTTCAGGCTAGCCAATGACACACAGAGAAACAAATTAGAAAGGACAAAGGAACCCTAATAAGTATAGAAGGAAAAGCTGTTGAGGAAATACTCTAAATAACAGACTTCCATAGCATGATTTCACTTCTTTAGTAACAAGATTCCAAACTGGAGATCTGAATCATTGGTAAAACATTGCCTAGGATGCTCAAGGCTCTGAGCTGCATCCTCAGAAACAGCAAAATACCTGTATGCATGCGTGTGTATGTGTGTGATTTTATATATATATATATATATAATATATATATATATATATATATATATATATTTAATTATATGCCGTTGAAAACATATAAACATAAGAGAATATAATTATAAAAGAAAAGCCACACTGGTATTCTCAGAGAACTGGAGAACAAAATGTCTATTAAATGGGCTGGAAAAGCCTGATAGTTATAGCGCACACCTTTGATCCCAGCACTCGGGAGGCAGAGGCAGGTGGATCTCTATGAGTTTGAGGCCAGCCTGGTCTACAGAGGGAGATCCAGGACAGGCACCAAAACTACATAGAGAAACCCTGTCTCGAAAAACCAAAAACAAACAAACAAAAATCCTATTAATATATTATGAATTTATTTCTCTTTTTTAGAAAACATTTTAATTTTTTTTTTTTTT